GTGTGTGGCTGATTTGGCCTTGTCCAGGCCAGCTGCTTATTCCTCAAGGCCAGGGGCCCGCCATAAAATATCAACTGTCTTACTCCCAAGGCTGCTGACCACAGTTATCTTTTTTAAGGCTGGCCATAGCTATCTCTGTCAAGGCCGGGTAGCTGGCTATGGCTGTGAACTCCTGTTTTTCTGATTCCTGCAGAATGGCGTTTCTAAGGCCAAGTTATTGGGGGGGCATAACATCGGCTCAACGCCCCATATCCTCATAATGGAGCGGGGGTCTTTCAATTCACCCCCAATTTTGGTTGCCCTGGGGTCTGGGCATTCTGCCTTCAGGAGAGGAATGGGGACCATTATTTTTTAACCTGTACATAATATTTGGCTTTTTTGTTCTTTACGTGTATACATGTGTAAATATCCTCTCCCTCATCAACTGGTACAGTTTTTAATAAAACCATTTAAAGCAAATCTTTCTTTTTCTTTTCCTCTCCCCCCCCCCCCAAGACAGAGTTTCTCTGTGTAGCTTTGGTGCCTTTCCTGGAACTCACTCTGTAGCCTCAGCTGGCCTTGAACTCACAGAGATCCACCTGCCTCTGCCTCCTGCGTGCTGGGATTAAAGGTGTGCACCACCACCACTGCCTGGCTGCAAATCTCTGTTTTTCTAAGATGGGGTAAAAATACAAGAGAGGGCATCAAACACTCTTAATGTGTTTCTCCCCAGCATCCTGAGTTGCGCTAGAGGTGCTGGGCTCTGGTCATACTGCCTTTCCCTTCTCGGACTGGGAAGAACAGTCTGGCTGCAGAGTAGCAGGGCCACAGAAGCCCAGTGTCATGGGACAGAGGGACTTTGGAGGGGTCAGCCTGGGGTTGGGTCCAGCCTCTGGCCTCCATCTGATGAATGACCTTGACAATGATGGAACCTCAGGCTTCCCTTACTGGCTCGTCCTGCCTGCCTCGAAGAATTAAAGGGAATGTGCCACGGACCCTGCCCACTCTGGCACCCAGCACTGGCAGTCCGGTAGAGAGGGGCCTCCGGTTTTACACATAACTTATCCCCATGGCAAGCCAAACCTTGGGTCCCTTTTCCCAGGGAACAAACACCAGGTAACATCTCAGGCCTGCCTTGGTAGCACAGTCCTGTGTTTCCAGCTGCTTGGGAGACTGAGGCAGAAAGATCACAAGTTCAAGGCTGGCCTGAGCTACAGAAAGAGTTCAAGACCCTGTTGTACAAGCAAAGGCTGGAGATAATACTTAGTGGTAGAGCACATTCCAAGCAGCTATGAAGCCTTGGGTTCAATCCCCAGCTCACAGAGGTGGGGGTCGGGTGAAGGGAGAGGGCTCAGTGGATACAAGTGGGTATGCATCAAGCATAAAGACCCAAGCGCGGGTCTTTAAGGACTCATTCAAAAGGCCGGGAACAGAGGCACGCTCTAATCCTAGAGCCAGGAGGCAGCGACAGGAAGGTCCCAGGGGCTTGCCTGGCCAGCCACTCATAAATGAATTCACAAGCTCCAGGTTAAGTGTCAGACCCTGCCTCAAAAAATTAGATA